ACATTAATTTGCTACAAACAATTATATTAAAATAACATAACCCATGTTTAAGAGCTGAATCTTCAGAAATTTCATCATATCATTGACGTGCTTCCATTCTCCACAGGGACTGCATATTACAGATAATTTTGGAGGAAAGTTTTGTCCTTCCTGGAAATCTTTTATAGGTTGGAAAACATTTTTCATACAAGCTGTACTGTATAAAACTGTAATCACAGAATTTAATGTTTGTTTTACCAGAGCACTGTTAATCTTGTTTTTAGTTAAGTGTGGGGTTTTCTTTATTTTAAGTTACTTTTACCCTTTTCTGATTTTCTTATTGTAAAGCTGAATTAAAAAATAAAATTATTGGAACCTGTTTGAAGGCTGCTGTAACAATCCGATGGTTTTGTGTGCCAGAGAGGAGTTTTGGCATGAGCTGTACTGAAAACTCAGCTTTGAACAAAGCTTGTGCTGGAGTGGGAGTGCTGAGGTGACCTGAAGCCATTGTGCCTGTAGCTTAAAGCTCCTGGAGTGATGACTTACCGTAAAATGACAGAAACGGTTATACAGGAAGGATGCTCCAGCTTGGAGGTCACTTTACAAAACAGCCCGCCAAAGCAGCGCATCTCTGACAGGATGAAGCACCCTGGCGTGCCTCCTCCCTGCTCATAACCATGTTACATGTAGGTGTCCAGCTTTCAGCAATGGTTTGGACTCTGTCAAAGGTACTTTAACTGTTAATGTCCCACTGAAATGTAGGCATGTGCCATCCTTGTTATTTATTCATGTTTCAATAAATCAATCCCTTAATATTTTGTATTTTAACTTTCTTAAGGTTTAGTTAGTGCTGTACCCTTCTCTGTGAGTGGTACAGGCTACATGGTGAAGAACCAGTTGCAACTGCAAAGTCACACTATGAAACAACATCACCTCTATAACCATTTACTTGTCACTCACAACTGGGCCTCAGCTGCTAGGGCTATTCTCAGCTCACCCTAACTTGAACAGGTTTTTAGTTAGCTGGTATTTCATCAGAAAGGTAAGGAAAAGGATTTTTTTTATTTATAATTTGCCCAGTACCAAGAGACACAGCTGTAACTTGGAGGAAGGGGCACAAGCAGATCATTGGAGCTCAGAGATGTTGTTGCTGCTGGTGCTCTCCTCAGGAGGGCAGGCAGTCAAAACAGCTCTGTGGAGCACTGGGAGCATTTAGACCCAGCTCAAAACAGCGCTTCTGAAGCAAGTGTCCAGCCAGTTTCCTGCAGAGTCAAACACTGTCTAAAAAGCAGAGGTTTGCTCCATTAAAGCAAATGGAAGGTGTTCCACCCACTGCTTGGTGTTCAGCTGAGGGAACCAGGACAGAGGCAGGTAGACTGGGGGTGGGGGGCAGCAGCTGTTCTGTCCTCAGGGCTCTGTTTCTCTCCAGCTCTAGTCCCATGGCAGCACAGTAAGGGCCAATGGAGATGAACCCACTGCCTCTCCTTGACTCATGGGGGTTACCCCAGCAGGAGGTACTGACCATCTCAGGAGTCTCTGCTCTACTGCCACTGACTATACAAATGTGGCTCCTACTAACAATTGCAGGAGGGGGTTAGCAAGTGATGAACAGAAGAGGTTACACACCCATATTAGAAAGTATTTGCTATTTCCCTGGTTGCAGTCACTGTCCTTGCTGGGGTAGGGAAACAAGTCAGGGTTTCTTTGTGCAAAAATCTACCTCAGGGTCAAAAGTATAAGAGTTTAAACACAAAAAACACACAGATGGAAGCAGCAGCCAGACTGCAGTATTTTATTTCATATTTACACAAAAGTGTGCAAAGTAAGTTTTTTGAGACTGTAGTAGAGAGGGAAGGAATGTGTTTTACTGTAGCAGTATCCACAGGTAAACCTGATCATGCTGAAACAGGAACCTTACAATCTCAGAGCGCACAGCAGCTTTTCAGTATCTTGGCTTCCAGCCATCACACAGGTTATGGGTGAGCCAACAGCAAGTCAGGGGTAGCAACAGTGGGCTGAGACTGCTGTTTCTGTGTAACAGCATGGCAGTTCCTGATCTCTCTCCAGTTTTTAAGCACACTTCCATCCAGCTAACAGATAGCTCCAGTTTTTAGCACACTTACTTCCATCCACATAAACTGTCTCCCAAGATAACCTGGAAGCTACAGTTCAGATATAGGTTATGCACATAAAATTCAGGCCTTCAAGGAACACCATGTAACAGCAAGAGTACTTGCCAACTGGTATTCCACAGCTGCTAAGGACCAGAAACTTTTGCCAGCTTACACAAATAATTGTAGTTGATTACTAACAAGAAGAAACTTTAAATCCCCTTCAGCTACTACATTATAGCCTTTTGTACTTTTGCCTGTAGTACTTCAAGTCAAGCAATAAGCAGGGCAAAACCAATGTGATTAAGAGTTGACAAGGAATTCCATGTAGAAGAATAATGCTAGGATTCCCCTTTTTAACAAGAAAAGGCCCCACAAAACAAAAACCATAAACCTCCCCCCCAAAACCCCCACAACAAACGAAACCACATCACAAACTCCAACACTCAACTTGTTAAATCCAACTCTGTGTTTGCTATGACCAGGATAAATGCAAGATGCTGAAGAGGACGGGGTATTGCAAGTCTTCAGGGCTTGCTGGGCAGAACCTAGCAGTTCGACAGCACAGTGGTAACTGCTCACAGCAAACATGCCCGTTTGTCAGTTGGCCTATTTCTTGTTCTACAGAACATTATAAAACCAAGGTAGAATAACCATAATTTTCTTTTTCTAAAAGAAGGTCTGAGGTTTTTATAAGAACAAAACACTAAGTTAACAAGAGCCTTTATGCCTAATGTTTTGGTGCCCTGTCCTCTCCTGCATTAGATCACTTGAAAGACTTTTAAGCAGTTCTATAGTTCACTGTGATGGGTCAAGAAAAAGTTTAGATAGAAGCTTCCTTGACCCTTGCAGCTGATTTAATTAAGAGTTATTTCAAGGGGTTAGAGGTTATCTGTAAAATGTCATACCACTGTAACTAGTTTTTTCTGCCTTGAAGGGAATGTATTATACTGCAAAATGGAAACAGGCTGTAACCACTTGTAAAGTACTGAAGACAAAGAGCTGTTGTGGTGTTCAGTTTACATTATTTCCTAACACATTTTTAGAGTATTTTCTTCAGCATGAAACAGATTCCTTCTTGTAAGACTGGCTTTCTTAAACCAAATTATTAGAAATGGAAGAATAAATTGTATAATATACCAGTGATTACTTAAATTAAGGTATTCCTCCTCCCCCAGTTTATCCATTCTAGTTATACACAGGAAAAATGCTAAAGAACTTTGATCATACTCAGAGAATGTTGTCTATGGATACCACTTCAGTAATGGATTACATTTGATTGCTTGAACCTTTTTCATGTAACGTTAATTTCAGTAAGATTCAACAATGCGTAAGTTTTCTGGAACTGAAGTCCTTTGCAAAGGGAGTGAGAGTCACTGTGTGGTTTGCAACTTGCCAAGGTTCCATTTCATTATGTTTGTCACACCCAGCACTGGGGTTTGTCATTCTGAGCTGTTAAGAATTCGCTCTTTTGGTCCTAGGAAACTTCCTTTTTCTCCACCACTCCCGTTCCTTTCCCAGCTACCTGAGGGGACAGCAGGAAGCCTAGCAGGCACACAAGTGTTTGCTCACAACTCCATCAATAAATCTTGTCTTCCAGGAAGCAGGGCAATAAAGGGACAACTTACTCCCCCTGCAAGAAGGGTCAGTTCATGACACTCAAGAGCCACTTGGCAAAAATAGCTAGCAAAATGCTTGGCTTCTGGCATGTGGCCACTGGCTGGCACCACCATCTGGCACAAGTGATCTTTATCTAACAAGCACAAACCTGAAAAATAAGTCTTCATCAAGTCAGATAAGATACCTATGCAAGAAAAATACTGAAGATAATTTAAACAGAATTGCCTATAAATAAACCTTTAAAACCTAGCAGATGCAAGTTTGTGTTAAAAATAGATTTAAATATACTTCCCCCTAATGAGGATTTTAAATGCTGAATGCACACTTGTAACTTAAGTTCTAGTAAAATATAAGATCTGGTTGTGAGTTTACAGAACAGTCTTAATTTATACAATACATTATATATTTATTATATAGCAGCTTCAGTATGAATAATACTTCACTTGTTGGCTAACACTCAGGTGATTTTTTTGGTATCCACCATCTGACATGAGCAAGCACAAACACATGTACTTAGCATTTTCTATTTAAAACAAGTAATTGCTAAAATGTGTGCTGTTCTGTCCATCTTCATACAGTGCAAGTGGTTACAATGCAACAATTTAAACAGAGCATTTGTTTAACAGACTTGCCCCAAGTACCCTTTCCCTGCCCCATTTTTCTAGGAAAGGATAACAGCCAGCGGCCGTACTGTCAGTCTCGCACGCCACATCTAGCAGAGTTAACTCTGGACAGCGCTGTCGCTTTTAAGTCTCCTTGGGATAAGATAAACAGAAGTAAAAACTTTTCAATGCTGCATTAAGATTTCAATTTTCCACCTCAAATAAAAACATCAGTTTTGCACAGTGGATATATATTCAAAGTGGTCAGAAAGGACTATCCCAAACCAGACTGCCCTCACACTGAGCCACCAATAGGCAACACATAATTTGATACAATTAGCATGCATTTATGTCCTTTCCCCATTATGTTTAACTGGGAAATAACTTCACACCTCCTAACTGGAGTTACTAATCGCTATTAAGAAAGCCCCATCGCTGCCAAGTGTTACTAGCTCCAAGAAATATGACACTAACCACTGAGTAAGGTGCAGTAAGTGAAAGAAAGAGTAGCATGAAGGCACTTGATACCAGCTAGATTTCATACAGTAGTTTCACTTTAGAATAAAGGATACAATAATCAAAACAGACTGATAACTGAAAACACGCTCTAAATATGGCAAGCCCAACCTAGTGTTATAGGACAACCTGCAGTGTGCAAATACATGGAGAAAGTTCACTTATCTTGATGTTATAAACTAAATCCAGACACAGTCAGGTGCTGAGCATTATTCCTAGCTTCAAAGTAAGAGGTATCTGTTTCATCATCCGGCTGAGGTATGAACGGCATAGTTTGATTCTGTAGGTTATCCCAGTCCACACCATGAAAGAGGGGGTGATGTTTCAGTTCTGAAACAGAAGTTCATATAAGCATTATTAAACTTCTTTTGTCCAAGCCCCAGTCACTGTTAGGCATCAAGGGAACACCGTCAGTAGATTTGCTCTGGTTTGGAAATTCACAGAAGCACAAGTCACAATTGGGTTTTGATTACCCCCAGCCCCAGTGGGACCAAACCGTTGCCATGCTAACTAACCAGCTTCCCCCAGCTGGGGAACCTGCTCTAGAGTGCACACGGTGGATCAGAGGTGCCCCAGGGGCATTTCTCATGGTAGGGCACCACAGAAATTTTAAGCATCACTTCAAAGCCTGTTTCTAGTCTTGCCAAAGTTATGTGCTGAGTAGACATGTGGGAGTCACTCCCGCCCTTCTCCACTCCAGGCCACCTGCCTTTTGCCAGCACATGGAGCAGTCCTCTCTGCTTCACACAGTCCCCTTTGGCCTACCACCAGCACAGAATCTAAACACCCTTATGGTGAAGTTACCACAGACCACCAGATTTCTCTTTCCCAGCCTGAAGGTGGGATCACTAACCAAGCTGCAAGACTTTCTGACCGAAGGAGAACTCCCCTGCCCTGTCCGTTCTGACAACAAGGTGAGACTTCCTGGCACACAGGATCTGACTTTGTGTCTTTTGCATAACCTGGAAACACCACTGCCTGATGGAAGTGACTTTGTGACTTTGATTCAATCCAAGAAAGCACCTTTTCAGCTGGTGGGATACAAACCTGTATTTTTATCACCTGCACCACAAAAGCAAATAGAAAAAAATAGGACAGGTAAACAAAACCAACACAAGGCACATTTAGGAGGCGGAAGCCCCACTAAGGCAAACACTCACTACAAATTTTAGTTCTAAGCACATACCACAGGCTTTTAGCTGACAGACAGTAAGACATCATGATTTATTATTTCTACATTTCTTGATCAAATAAATTTTTTAAACAAAAGGCAATAAATCAGCAAGTCAGCCACCTGTTGCATGACAGGCAACTAGATTTCACCCTATCACCCGGGAATAAAGACAGTAACTTGCGTTCAACTAAAACACCTCCAAATTAAGACATCAGATACTTTTGGGGAGACATTAAAAAGCCACAGAACTCCCTGTTGACATCATGATCTTCATTTATAAATGTGTGCCTTCTCTAGTTTGAATTGGCCTGGTTTCAACTTCTAGCCCTTAGTCTCCTTATGAGTAAGCATTTCCATAATACTACTCTAGTGATTTCTTGGGCAGTTCTCATAAGATTTCTTCCCTTTTTTTTCCAAAACATCTCACTAAGCTTCCTTCATGTTATCAATTTTTTTATAAAATTAGTCACCAAACAGTTGAAGTCTTTCTATAAGGGAAAAAAATTATATAGACTTCGTGTATTATATATTGTCTAACTCTGTGTTCCCCTATACATTCAGTAAAGATGGGCTGATTCTGAAGAAAAAGCTCCTTTGAATTAACATTTGTAGGAGGCTTCTCTCCCAAACTATAGGCTTTTAATTGACATTCCTAAAATCAGTTGGGTCAAAAACCCCAAATACTAGTACTGAGTTAGGCAAGAGTGAACTTTGGTACGTCAGATGTCCAACACTAAACATCCATTGCAAAACAGCATTAAAGCAAACCAAGAGCTCAAAAAACCCACCAAAAAAATTTCCCCATTGAAAAGGGCAAAATCCCACAAGAAATAATAGAAAATACCACACCTTGTTAAGTGTTCTCACATTATGAGTGGAACCTAAGTAGGCATTAAAGTTTATTAGTCCAAATTTCAGGAGCAGGACATCACCACTTTGAAGTTTTTTAATTAGTTGCAAAGAACACAAAAGAATTTTAATACTAACCCTTCAGTCCTGCTCTCTTAGTACTGTCAACTGTTAGAAGAATATCTATGGCATTTTGGGCATTATCGGACAGCTTTTCTTCACCCTCAGGCCAGGGAATATCTACAGACAAAGATGCAGATGAGTCAGTAACTCAAACCATAAAACAAACATTGGAAATACATACTTTCCCCACTTACTGAAACAGATTACCTCTTTTCAAAATATTTTGGAAGACTTGTGTTGGTGTTTCATCATTAAAAGGTGGAATTCCAGTTAGAAACTCAAACAGACAAACTCCAAGGGCCCACCAGTCTACAGCAGAACCTGATAAAAGAAATCCAGGTGATGACACTGATACAAAGGTCTAATGATATTTATAAGGATTAAGATTAGCCAGAAATTGAGTGTTTAAACCTTGCAAAATTTCTTGGAAATGAAGAAAGAGACAAAATAAGTTGTATTCAATAATCTCCAAAAGACTAAAGACACATTAAAGGGGGTTTAAAGCCAGTCAGCTCCTTAATTCATTATAGATAATACCAGGGTTTACTGATAAAAGCAAGGGGCTCTTAAGAATAACCTCTAATTATCAGCTCCCATCACAGAGAATCCAGGAGCTGACTTCTCCAAGAGATTGTTTCATGACAATAAACAGTTGTCTTTAACAACAGCTCTAGAGCCTGGATGCTCATGTTGTAACCTGTATCTTTGTTCTTTGAGAAGACTCCAAGAATTCAAACCATTGAACTTAATTTTCATTTGTCTAAATTCATGTCAAAATATTGACGACAGCTTGCTGACATGAGCCAGCATGCAAGAAGCTGGAATCGCTTTCCATTACACTGAAGTTGATTAGGGCAGCGTGTAGTTGCTAGCTAACTCTCCTTTGTTGTTAAATAATTTTGGTTTTCCACATTCCAGGGTTTTCTTTTGCCAAACCCATATTATTAACCTACTTAAAAACAAGCAGGCAAAGCAATCCCAGACACCACTGCATGCATTCTAAGCTTTCTGCATCCTTAAGCCATAGCTAGTCCACTGTATAAAGAACACTTGCTGCAAAAAAAAAAGTCTTTGAAAGACAGTAAGTATAGTTTTTCTGGGCTTTTTTTTGGTGTATAAAAAAATTAAAGACAACTCCAAGTTAAGAAAACAAAATGTTTTGAGCCACTTCAAAAGGACTATTGACTAAGTTTAGAAATGCTGAAAACTGAAAGGGGTAACTACTAATCTAATGCACCTTTAGCAACATTTAACGGCAGTCAGAGTGCCCCACTGAGCCGAGCACATCAAAGCAGTGAGATCACATCCACTGTTGTTAGAGGTACTTGGATGTTCAGATAAAATATTGCCAGCTTTAGTCAAAGTCTAGTAAGATCACAGCTCTGAACAATGTACTAACACAGGTTTCAACAGCAGTTTTTCCAACCCAAAGTTTAACTAAAAGTTACATTAACTCCTACCATGTCCCTGCTCAATCCTGTCTATCAATATTTGAAGCAAGAAACAGAAATACCAAGTCTTGTGCAGCTGAACCTTCTTCAGCCATACACAAAGTAAATCAGACTGACCACATAAAGTGGAAGGAAGCAATGAGAAAGTGTCTCTCTGGTTTATGTCCTGTTACACAAGGTCTTTAAGGACACTGACTTTACTCCTGGAGTATAGGCTTAGTGTGATGACTGGTAGCCCAGTCACAGGGATATCGATGTTTCCTGAATCTTTTGTGGAAGCATCACACATTCTTATGTGGAGTGCATATCGGACGTCTCTCTATAAACAAACATAGTTCACCCAAACAGTTTTCTTGGAAATTGTGATCTAGTTCTACTTTGACTGTTCACAGTTATGCTGAACATTCCATTTCTGCACAGTATGCGGCAAACTCACCAGAGATCAGAGTCCCTGCACATGAAAAGACAACGAAGCAAGAACGTTACAGTTATTGCAAAAAAACCCTAACAAATACCAACACCAAATATCAAGTATGAGTCTCTAAAGGCACAAGAACGCAGATTTTTTTTTCTTAAGGTACTAATTCAACAACAAAGAAAGATGGCAATGTTAAATTGGTTAGAAACAGAAATAAAATAGTTTTGTAACATGATTATAGTTTAGGATTATAACTACATTTACAAGCAAGTTGACAACACCAGAAATATTTATGAGGGAAAGTTTTAAGTTCTGAAGCCAGAAAACTCTGGCTTCAACGAAAGTAATGGGACATTCGTCATGTCATCAACATAAAACCCAGGCTCTGCAAGTTACCAGTGAAGTCCTGAAAACACTCAATAGTTGCACAGAAGTCACCCTGCAATCAAGTTTCACATTGCCTAAGTAGCATTGATTACATTTCCAAACTATTATCCAGTTTCAATGCCTGCCAAATAACCACAATTCCTGAATGCAAGTGCAAAACAACAGCTACGTATGTTTAGTAATTTCAGTTGTTGCAGTTAAATTGTTCAATCTCTACGTGCAGTTTTAGTTTACGTATATTGGCTGCACACAACAGAATTTTATTGCTCCACAGATTAGTAATCACTATTTCTCAATGAAGATCTCATCTCCCATATAATTCTCCTAAGACTATTAGCTCTACAAAATAAAAGTATACTTTTGAGATGGAAGTAAAATGTAACAAATACAAATGTACTGGGGATACATTGCATTTATTTTTTGTTAATGATTCTTGTAAGTTAGCAGGAAAAAATTTCAGAATTTGTGTTTATCTCAGTGGAGCTCAGAATTTGAGACAAAGAAATTTATGCACTTCAAAGTTGGGATATTTTATTATAGTATTTTGCAAAAAAAAAATAAATTGATGGCTACTACTGCCCACTTATATGGAAGATCCTGCCAGAAATCTTGTGTTCATGAGGTCACTCAATTCAATAACTGATTTTAATGCAAACTTTATATTATAACTTGTCTGGATGCACATAAACACTGTAATATCAATGAACACAGAATGCATTCTAAGAATAATTGCAGGCTTAATCTTTCCATACTCAATTTCACTGAGTTCCCCCACCCCACCCCAAAGAATCTTTAAGGACATTCAGGATGACCAAGTTGTGATTCCTAAGCCACATACAAGTCTCAGGCTGCTAAGCACAGCTTCCAAAGCATCAGATTAGCAGCAGGCAAGACTACACTGGGCAGTCAAAACCTCTGGTCATGTGAAAAAAGTAAACGGGAGCAGCTGAAGCAAACAAAGCCATCCACGTTGGCAAAAGCCAAGCGCTGAGTATTTTTAAAGCATTGATTGTCATATTACCTGAAGGGTTTAGAGCTCTGGAGACACTTAGAAATGTAACTATGTCACTTTTCAAGTTTTTACGAAATCCATGGTTTGTCTTACCATGAGGCTTTGTCAAAAGCAGCTCAGGTGCCAGGTAGTCTGGGGTCCCCAGGATGCGATCACCTTCTACTGGGGCAGCTCCTCTTCTTACGCTCTTTGGAGTCCTATATGGTGTGCCAGCATCTCCCCGATGAGGTGTCTTAAAAGATGCAACAAACACTTCAGATGTCAAACAAAACCAGCTGAAAATTCCCATCTCCAGGTTTAGTAATGATGTAACAGTTGATACGTAAGTTCAAGTCAAGAACATGTCACAAAAACGTTCATTCCCTGAAAAAGTATGTGTGAAGTATGCTTCCATTTCTTTATCTCAACCATCTTGAAGCATGAAGACTTAATCAATGCCTACTCTTTAAGAAAATTTTCGAAGTTCTTCCTCCAGTGTCAAACACATAAGTAATGTCTCCAAAAAACCAACCAATCTTAAACTCCTCTTTCAAATGCAAATCTAAAGATAACCTACTAAGTAGAATGTCAAAATAGCCTTCAGTTCTAACATGGAGTTCTTAACGTTAGCCAACGAAAGCAAGCATACATGTCAAATACCTATAAAAGAAAGGAGAATCCTGACTTTTCTCACATATTGCATGCCAGATGTACTCAAAATAGATCAAATGAGCCCTTTATTAACCTGTATCTTATGGGTTGTGTAGTACCTGCAGATGAAGTTCTGCTCAGGCTAGACTCATTGACTGTTTTCAGCTACAGGAACCTTCTGAAAGTAATTCAGAATATATTTGAAGATAAAATATCCAGGCTTGCAAAAAGATAAATAAATTCTTGCAGCCTACAGGCTGACCACAATGAAAGATTTCCTGTTATATCTGGAGATACTACTAAATTACCTTGCAGAGGCTCTCATTCTTTATTTTTCCATATACCCTTAATTCCCATATATCCAGTATAATTTTGTTTCCAGCTTCATCTTCAGCACAGCAGAGATCAATTCATTATCACTATGCCACAAAGGCTACAGAATAGAAAACGGGTAACCAGATTGCAATGATGTGATTTCAGAAATAGTCAAAGGTATATAAAAAAGGTATCTTCCTGTTCAAATCTAAGTTACAAAAACATATAATGCCATCAGCCATTTATTTCTCAGCGGATATAGTGCACACTACTCTGACTCCATTTCAGCTGAATGCAAGCTAAGTTTCACAGTCTAAATTAAAGTTTTATGCACTAGCAATCCAAAGGCATCAGGAAAAAAGGCATCCCCAAAAATAATGTTTTGAATGTCCCCTTTCGTTACATCAAATCATTCAACACACTGCCAGTTCTGTCAGAAAGCTTTAAATCCTACAACTAGAACCTAAGTACCTGGATAAAGCTCTTGTAAAGCCATGCCAAAATGAAAGAGGAAACACTTGTCTTTCAAAAAGTATAGTTACACTTTTCCCACATTGGGGCTCTAGTTTACTTTAGGACAGTAATATTTTTACTTACTATGAGGAGGATTAAAAAGGTCAAAGCAAAAACTTCATAACCTGCAAGCAGCTATGATTTACACCAATCTTTGTAATAAACTTGTAATTGGTACTTGGCAATAAACACACATCACACCACTTTTAACAAGACAAAAAAAATAGCAAGCACAATAGCAGTTACTAGCAGCTGAACAGCACTTGCAGACCATCTTGGGAGGGATGCAAGTTAAAAAAAGGGAAGAAAAAAAAAACTTCTCATTACATCAGGAAACCTATAATTACTCACAGGAAGCACCACACTACACTAAAAGTAGGATGAGACAAAATAGCACAGGCTTTCTTTACCAGTTCACTGTAACAAAGGATTTCTCAGAAAGACAGATAGACAATGCATGCTGAGCTAGAGGCAAACCAGTGGACACATAGTTATTGTTAAGCTCTTACAGAAATTATCATTTTGGCCACACAAGTGGAATAAGAGAAAGCCTGTCAGCAAAGGTCACTTTGACAGACTACCACAAACCACTTCCTTCTTCCCTAAATTAACAACAAAAATAATTTCAGATCACTCACGTCTAATGCATGCACCGAGTTCCTACATGTCTCCTTACATACCTGATAGACCCTGTATGGTCTTCCTTTCTGTAATGGAGTAATGGCTGTTGGGTAAGAGCCACTACAAGCAGGTGAAAGATCCACTATATCTAAGGAAGCCATGCTACATGGCTCAGATACATTGGATACATTAATTGGACTATTATAACTTCGAAAAACAACAGCATTTCTTTTGAAGATATTCAGTGCTTCCATCATTTTTTCTGAAGGAGAAGTTGCTGTGTCAAGGTAAGTTTCTTTCGTGTGTTTCTGGTCATTATCCTTTTCATGATGTAAGAGCTTGCAGTCCTGGACAGTGTGTGCTTGCTCTCCGTTTTGCAAGGCGTCTCGGCACGCCAGTGATGTTATTAGCATGCCTTCTGGTTTTGGCTCCTCAAAGGAGAGGTCTTTAACACTTTTGTCCAAATCTAAAAGCTCCTTCTCTAAATGGCTTTCTGTAACAGACATTTCGGGAAGTGACAGGTCAGAATCTGCACTCAGGATTCCTAAAGGTTTTTCATCATCAGTGCCTAAAAAGCTTGAGTTCATGTACTCCTTGTACCCCTTTTTATCATCCTTTTCAGTGTCTGCATCCAGATCACACATAAGATTTTCGGCTACAATTGGAGCAAGAGATTTTTCTACTGTTTGCTGGTTAACAATAAGACTCTTAACTTCTTCCTTGCTTTTGCAGGTGTCACGTAGGCATCCATCATCACAAAGCATTAAGGACTGAATTTCTGTTGTCAAACCTGTCCTTTCGTTTGCTGGAAATTCTGTGATCTGACAACCACGTTTATATTCTGCATTGCTTTTTTTAACATAGTTAAGTTCCTGACTAGGACTAGTGTCAACTAATTCAAAGCTTCTTTTCACCCCTGGCTTCTCAAAAAATTCTTCCTCTTTGATAAGCTCAACAGGCTTGTTCTGCCCTGAAGGTGACTGTTGTTGCTTGGAAGTTTCTGCTGTTTCATTAGTCATCTTTCTTCTATTTACAAAGAGTTTTTCTTCCCAGATCTTATTTTCAGAAAGACATTTTCTGACTATGCCTTTCACATCCAGTGTGGCCACAGGAGTATCTGTTATATTGGAATGTTCACTGCCCAGCTTCTGCCTACTGCCAGAATCATTGTTGATGGGAGAAATGGCAGACTCCAGTTCTTTTTTCTTTGAAATGTTAATACCTTTGCTATTCAGTAATTCTACATTCGAAAGGAGACCTGACCCACTGTTACTTGTTTCGCCTGTTGTAGAACATAGTTCATCTTCACTTTGCTGCAAATGAGCACATTAAGTTTTGAGTATCAAGAAAAACAGGATTACAGCATTACAGAAATGTGTCCTTTAAAATACCTTATTGCTACTTTCATGAAGAACTGCAAATTGGCAAGCATTACTTATTCTTTATGACCACTAGTAGTGACAAATGTGCATAATACAAAGGCTTCAAAAATAAATTAGGGATAATTTGACTTTAAGAATATAAACCAAGCTTGCTAGAATACAATAGAAAATGCAGTATTTTTAAATGCCCAAGGATGAAGAAATATAGCAATTAAAGTTGTATTTTTGATTTTATGTTAAGAAGTTAAGCTACAGAAGTTCTCAGTTTCCAAGAAAACCCAAACCAAAGAACTCCATCATTCTACCCTGTGGCATATTGTACTTTAGAGATGACAAAAGCAAAGACTGATATTACTACTCTTTTGGTAACACAACACTAAAAACAAAGCCGTGGGAAACAGACAGATAAAGCAAAGAATTATAAGGTGTTTTAAACTTAAGGTTTTGTGTGTGGTCTAAATAAGAATCATGGCAAGGGACTAAATAGCACAGCAGCATTTTCTTTTAGGTCTGTATTTGTATTAGTTACTGGTGTTCAGTTAGTTGATACAAACCCCTTCAGCAAAATAAACCTAAAACTTGGTCAGTTTTTAATAGCTACTAGAAGTTTGAAGATTATTTTGTTATTTTCCCCAAATTCTGCCTTTTAAAGGCATTCTGTTGTCTGTGTTGAGTTAATAAAGCAATAGGGATAAAGTCAGCTTCCAAAAAGCCAGTGCTCCCAGCACGGCCCACCTTGTGAAGAACAGGGCTAAACCAGTGCCGTCCAGTAGAAGCCTTCTCTTTCACACCTTTGCTGCAAGCTAAGAGGCATTCGCTTTTCCTGTTGCACAGGACTACTGTTTGTTTGGAGAAGAAATAATACTAGTTTGATCCAGAACTCCCCTGCTCCTTCTCCTGCAGGAAGGCTTCTCTACGCTTGAAATAACTTGGGGAAGTAAGTAGAGGAGATCTACAACAGTGCAGACACAAGTACAAGCTAATATTAATTTATAGTGGGAAGATGAAACAGTCCTGACCTCTACATCTTTCTCCCACCTGGGGCTGCTGCAGCATTCTGATTCCATACTGGACAGGCATGTGTGCAACTGACTACTGGCACTGGAGGTACCAAACCTTTTTCTTGACTGAAGTAGAGTAGGAGTTAAACTTCTCACTGGCATCACAGGGGTTAGTGGAGAAGTATCGAGATCTTGAGAGGAAAAAAATAATGAAATCAAATGTTGATACAAATAAGCAACACCTATTAACTAGCTTCACACTATGTCAAGCTTCCACATCAAAGGAAGTTATGGAAAGCAATGTGTGACATCATAATTTCTCTTGTTGTCTTTCCTGCATAGTCAATTCATTCATTTTTTGAATTCTTACCAAGAATTTAAAAGAACTATGAACATTAGCACCATAATAGCCCTCTTTCTCATTTCAGGTTAGAAATGAGAAAGCAGTAAGATAAGACAATTTAAATGAAAACACACATTGCCGTATTAAATAATTTTCAACGGAAGTATGCCAAGTACTGACACTATTTCTGTAAAATCTTAAAGGGTTATTTCAACCTCAGTAGCTGTGCATGTAAAAAAAATAGCAAAAGATGACATAAGTAGTGTAGATGAAAAAAATGTCAGACCTTAAGTATTGGATGAATAGTAGACAGCAAGCCACTGATGGAAGCATGCCTTTTATAACTGGATCCCAGCCACTCACATAAAATTGAAAGACTAAAACCTTACAGCCAGAGTATTACTCAGTACAAGGCTTGGTATACTCACATGTTTTGAATAATTTAGTTGGAAGAGGGGTATTTTCCTTTTGGACCATAGGTAAGGGAGAAACCACTCCATGCAGACTGTCAGATGATTGACTCGAATTGTGCCCTGGCATTTTCATTCCAACAGGAGTATACTATCAAGCAGGAAGAGGCATAGTTAACATTTAATAGAGCACAAACAAAACATCCAGGATCAAGAGCGTAACTTCAGGCATTCTTTATTACATTGGCATTGGAGGTTAGCCATGCCCATTTACCAATCTGAAGCACAACTGATCATCAGCAATTTGAAATACAGTCCGAGGTAATCGCTTCAGAACTTCAGGGTACTGGAAACATAGCCTTATCACTCCTGTTATTAGATTTAAGATAGTAAGCAAACTAAAAGAACGAAGTACTTCCAAGACAGTGAAAATTACTTACAAAACCCAGAGAACTGATGAGAGACAACAACTGTCCTGGAGTACGTGAGTAATCTTGTTTTGGCTTTGCCATTGATGGTGTAGTAAGGATATCTATCATATTTATTTCTACAAATAGACAAAGAAACAAGGCAGGTCAGGTTTTCCTAGGCAAAATTACAGGCATTTACTTAAGTTTTATCAAGAGGGAAAAAAATTTAGACACATACTGAACAAATATGCAAAAGAAGCCACCAAACCCAAGGGAAGACATACCCATACATTTTCATTCAACACAAGCTGTTTCTTCCTTTACACCCATCATAAAATTACAGTTTATAAGTACAGAAACTGTTAAGAGTCCAATTTCTTTTCCAACACACTATGTTGTAAGTGTTACATTTTCTAACTCTATACCAGTTTTGATTTTTAGGTAGCAATTCCAGCCTATGGCCTGTGGACTAAGATAGTAAATTTGATTCAAAGCCAACCTTCTCTCCCAAAGACATCTCAAAAAAGCTATAGAAAAATTTTTCATAGGTGAAAATTTAACCTTAGATGCCATCCTTTGTTCACTAGAGGTACGCAGGCTTACAGCTTACACACCATGTTCAACTAGACACAATAATCTGCCCCATTAGAACTTATCAGTTAAAGCAGTATATTACAGAAAATACAGCATAAACAGGATTTTCCTTCACACTCTTAAATCCACGAATCAGAAACCCCCTAGACAACTCTGAATTTCTACATTCCTTTAACTATATAAAAAGGATGGACCCATCAGCAGCTGTCTCAAACTAAACTGGTGCTGGCCAGCATTAGTTTGGCTGATATGGCTAAGGGGTTGGAGGCAAACTAGTTCAGGAACTGGCTATTCACCCTAACCCCTGCACAGCCTATTGCCAGACAGTCATTTTAATATTCAGCTGTATTTTCTGCTACTTGAAAATAGTACGTTTATATGCATTAGCACTGATTTATAAATCTTCTGTTAGGGGCTCACCAACTCCCCCTGTCCCTCACATTAATGTCTGGAAGGTCCCAGTTCAGGTTGGAACACATATACATATATAGAAGGACAGAGAAACATGCACTGAAGGACAGAAATAGCCAGAGGTAGATCAAGAAAAAGCCAGAATTATTCATTCACCCTTAGAATTCTCTTAGTGGACTTCATAGAAAACTTTGAAATTCATACCCCTCAAGAGAAATGTCTCTAGATGATATTTCATACACCCTTGTCCCAGAGAATAAATATTTTAGCTTCTGAAGTACAATGCAGAGAGCAGACCTTTTACTAGCATGTACCTTACCTGATTTCTAGTAGGTAAGTACTGATATTGGTGCAACATTGGGGCTTATTTAATTGAAAGCTGCACCCTATGGGGAGGTAAAGCTTCAAGCATACGGGAATGGGACACAAAACCACATTCTAATACAACAGAAAGGATGCAGACAACTCTTACCTCTGTTCAGAGTGACTCTGGAAAGCCCAAAGTCTGTCAGTTTTATATGGCCCTGATCAGAAATGAGCATATTGTCTGGCTTCAGATCCCTGAAAAGGCGAATATAGTTGAAGTCAGCAAAAAGACAACTGAGCAGTATTAAGAAAGTTAACTGACCAGAAACAGTACAAAACATTGATTACAGCTGTTTCTCAGTAGCATCTCTTAGCTAGAAGATGCCAATTGGAGGAATATACCAAAACAATCTAGCACCAAATATTGTACAAACGTCTCATGCCTTGTAAAACCACCAGGCATGTCACAGGAGTTGCACATTTTGTGTTTCAGCAGGTTTACGTGTTCTTCCTGAGTATTACCATCACAACATTTACTAACACGTAGCTCCTACACACAACAGTACACATGACAAGCAAACCTCTACTAATAAAGTTTTCATGTGTGTTCTCTGTAGAACTACTGAATCAGCAAAGAACTCTCACTACACAGGGAGCATTAGAGTAGTCAATGTCCCTTTGTCCTACAGTTACATGCTTGCAGTATCCAGAGGGTTCCTGAACTAACAACCATTTAAAAGCCACAGGGAGAGGGGGACCTAGAAGGCAGCATAGCTGCTAATACACCACTGTAGTGGGGGAACAGCATGCAGGCAAGGGAAAGCTGCGTATATTTGTCTGCTTACCACACAAGGAGAGAATTTATTTTAGGTGGTGTTTCATGACATTGCTGCAGTGTACACATGCAAAAACAGCTTCCAGAAGCTGTAGCAAATGAGGTAGCTGTTACTATGAAGTGGTGATTGGTTATGCGTTTGAGTGAAAAAATAAAAACACAAACTACCAAATACTCATTTGTCTGAAAAAAGAAGTAGGTTTTACCTGTGGATTATCCCATGCCTGTGGAGATAGTCAAGAGCCAATGCTGCTTCAGAAACATATTTAACAGCCATTTCTTCATCAAAATATCCATAAATATGGAGAAGAGATTTGACATCTCCACCAATAAGGTACTCCATCACCTGCCATTCAAGCGTTTCAAATTTAACATTTTAAAACACATTTCCAATTTGCAAGCAAAATTTAAAATAGCTTTCACCCCTAGGAAAATATGATTTCAAAAAGTAAGAAAGAAGCTTCCTTGTGCTGACTTCACTTCATTTCTCACACAATACTTTTCACTTGGGTAAAATAATTAAAGTTTCAGATGACAGAGGACACGACATATTTTCTGTTAATAGACTATTTACTTATTTTATATTATTAGCCTAGCCTACTTTCTGTAGTCAGCTCTCCAATAACTACTGTAGTCAGATTTTTAATTAACTTCTGAAAGTTTTCTGTATTATAGAAAACAAATTGCAAAGCACTCCTGCAAAACTCAAGGCCTGAAGATAAGGCCACAGATACTGTGATTTGTATAGAACAGGTATCTCAATGATTTTGTTTTGCAAGTGTTTATACACAATATTAAATTCAGACCTGAGCTTTGCGAAACAAGTGCAAATTTCCGGAGTTGTAAACAGTGATACCTACTGTGCATTTAAGACATGAAAATGTCTAAAAAAATACACACATAAAAAATGATGCAAACCTACATGTTGTTATGGCCCATGTTGTATTCAAGATAAAAGAAAAGTCAGCAGGGTTTCATAAACTCACTCTTTGATGACAAGAATGAATTTATGGGGTTTTGGTCAAGAAATCTCACCAGTACCAGTACTTACGACTCCAATATACAATACCAACCCATATATACGACTCTAGCACCTCCTTTACAAATCCTTCACCCTGAACTCCTCAACTTCATGCAGCAGTTAATAGATTCCAGGAAAAGACGCCTTAATTTAACATGCAAAATGCATTCTAGAAGCGCATAGCAATCTTGCCTCAGAATTTAATCAGGCTGTTCACTGTGTGCGCTTACAGTAAAGCGGAGAAATTATGCTAGACCCTCTGTAGACATTCTTAATCCATTCTACCTTTATGTGGAGGCAGTACATAAAACCATATTCCATTCTACCTTTATGTGGAGGCAGTACATAAAACCATATTCAAGTCCCACTGTACTCCACAGTGCTCCATATAGACTAGCATTTACTTTTGCCGCTCAGTTATCCTCTTGGCCTAGATGACAACTACCACAAATGAATTTTGAGAACACGCGACAAGTTAAACAGATTTCCTTTAAGTGAGCCACAGGGTATCTTTCAGTCACTTGGATTCTGTTTGAACAGAATGGTTTCTTGTTTTGTTTTCCCTAAGATTTCTATATATTCCGAAGACAGATTAGCTATTAGAAAGGACTTTCCTGTAAAATGAAAAATAAATAAAATGAGAGAACACAGGTGGAAATATCTCAAAGGTACCAGGGTAAGAGCTCAACCATTTCACTTGTTCAACCATTCCGAGAAAGAAGAAAGTAAAAGTGTCTAAGAAATACCCCATCACTACCATAAAAGTATGTTTTCAGACATGAATATAGTTCTGCACTCCATTTTCAACAGTATCATAAAACACCACAGCCATTTTTTTACTCACTAAATAGATGTTATTAGCTGACTGAAGTGAGTAGTATAAGTGCACAATGAAAGGACTTTTACTGAGAGCCAATGCATCCCTCTCTGCCTGGACCTGGTGAACCATGTTTTTGTTGATCATGTCTGCTTTTTTCATCACCTAAAAAAATAAACAAAACAAGAACAAGTAGATAAACATTCTATCCTTTGCTCAACTTGCAGTTCTTTAGTCAATTCATTTATCTCTATACTTCAAACTTGCATACATATATACATGTAAAACAGACCTATAACTTCACATGCAGACAGAATTTTAAGCCACAGGTTTAATTAGAGAACCTTTTCCATTGCTCTCCTAATTCAGTCCTGAATGGACACCACCGATATTTACTGCTATTACACACACACTGGGAAATGAGTGCTTAGGCTATATCTGAAATCAAGTTGCCCTCAGTTAATCCTCTTATCACAGTACACAACTCAGAACGAGGAAAGTGTTCAGTGCCTAGATATGCACTTGCTGATCATGTCTTCCCGTCTCTTCAGAGGTTGAGATATATGGCCTGAGGCTTGAAAACAGAGTGCAGCCGCAAACCATCCCATCTTGGTATCCTCAAACGCAAGATTGCAACTATTCCAGCCTGTACTTCTTAACTTTGCAGAGAAAGCAAGTGAATTTTTTGCTTTATTTAAATTTAACAATCAAATCACCCAACAAATATACATTTTGCTGGGCAGAAGCCTCAAAGGCATGCAACTCACAATGAAGAAATAACAAGCTTAACTGTGAATTGTGCTCTAATCCCTGTGTGGAATTATGACACTATATGTTCATGCCCACTCAATATTAATCTTGACTAGAAAATGCTAACAGCACAGCTGATAGGTACTTAGGGAAGCATTGCGTACGCATTGGAAGTTTGCCCTCATCTGACATCTTTGGTCCAGATAGACACGTATGGCGATATTAAAGCAAGTTTAACTTATCTATGCAACACTACCGTAAAAACTTGGGCCTACAGCTACCACCACCATTCAATAACAGAATGTGATAACACATAAAAATATCAAGAAATAAGAAGTGCAATTTGATACCTTCTATATAAGTGTTGATCCCAACTGTAAAATATTTAGCATATGTTAAAGTAAATAGCTTGAAAAATCCCCAAGTCTCACGCAATAGGGATAAATGATTTAACACAAGAGCTTTTAGGTCACAATACTTTCAATAAACTTGCATAAGATACTAAAGTAACATAATTGAACCACTCTATATGCAGCACCTAAACTGTAGAAAATTAGTTTCCACAGCTACTACCACTATTATCGAAGTTAATAAAAAATGCACAGAATGCACAGAATTACACTTCTAATAAGTGTTGACCTTAACGGTACAAAAATTTAGTACTTGTTAAACACTGTAGCTCTGAACAAGCTATAAGCTTCACTGCAATAGTGATAAAGGGTTCACACAAAAACTTTCACCTTGACAGTTCATACTAAAATCATTTAAACAGTCATATATAGCTCTGAAGAGCAATGTCTATTTCGCCTGATTGTTTTTAATTTCCTTTCCTTTCCTTGGTGTACTATGCGGCTGGTTATAACCCCTTTAATCACAAAAGTAAGCTTGCACAAACCATCGGTAAAGTTGTTACTACTGACAAGCCTAGTTTTCAGTCCGTTGTGCATCGACATAGAAAATTCAACAGTTTTCTTTGAACGTGCACTCAGCAAAAATCCTTTTCAAAATTTCCTCTCTTTATACACCTCAGAGGCAGACTTTTCATTCAGGAACAAATGTGAGAACGCCCTCCCGGTGGCACGACCGCCGAACGTGTTCGATTACAACACGTATTTACAAGCAAGAAGCAAAGAGCGCACTGACGCTTTGGGAGGCTTCTGGCGCAGTTCCCTCGACACTTAAAAGTAATTGCAAAAGCAGTTGTCGTTACTAGGTGCCTCCTAACCAAAGCCTCCAGGCGACTCGGAAAGGGAGGAAAAAGCTAATTGCGGCCATGCAGCCAACGCACGGGCCCAGGCAAGCAGCCTTCTGCCCCAGGAGCGGCAGCTCCCCGAGCGCCCAGGCGCCGGCGGGCAGCAGGACTGCGGCCGGGGCGGGCTCACGGGGCGCCTCCCCGTCCCCTCGGGGCGTCCCTTTCCCGCAGGGGGTTAAACGACAGCGGAGGGTGACAGCGCGGCGACACCAGGCAGCGAGAGGCCCGAGGGCCGCGGGGGGAGGGGAGGCGCCCCTCACCTTCACAGCATAGAGCCTCCCCGCCTTGCGGCCCAGGTACACCTTCCCGAAGGCGCCGCGGCTGATGGGCTTCACGATGGTGAACTCCTCAATGGAAGGGGGCCGGGGAACCTCAATGCGCCTCGGGCCGGCAGCTGCGGCGGTGGCGGCCCCCTCGTCCGGC